CCCAGACAGGCCCGTGCAGCTGGGCCAGAGTTTGGAGTTTATCCTCTAGGGCAGCACATGCTACAGTGTGGTGTTGATGCCACTGGTGGCCACTCACATTATTTTCAGGGGAGACAGATAGACATTTATTGTTTTATTTTCATTGTTTTATTTCTTTTTTTTTAAAGATTTATTTTTTATTTATACAATAGCTGGGGTACAGACCAGAAGCGCAAGAGTATGAGAGAATTCACCAGAGACAGTGCTGGGAACAGAACAGGCAGACTGACGAAATATACTGTTGAGAGGAGCAGCGGGTGAGACAGGAGAGGTCTGCCACACCATGTGGGTATCTCCCTGGCCAGCCTGGAATCAAACATGCGCTGCAGAGGCTACGGACAGCTTCACAGCGCTACGCTCAACCTGCTGCACCACCGGGGAGGACCCTCATTTTTTTTTTTTTTTATAGTGCCTTCTAAATATGGCAAAGAATACGGATTTTCTACTTATTGGAGCAATATAAAATTTCTCTGTAAAATTCATTTAAATCAGAAGAGATAATCAATTTAAAGAAAAAGCATCAAGGAAATATAATTCCCATGACTCACTAACAGGCAAACACAGTAAAGGCCAGGATATTAAGTAGCATTTGGGACACTGCCTTTTTGGAGTGGGAAAACCTTGAAGATTTTTTTTTTTTTAATTTTGGATGGAGGTATAGACAAACAAGAAATTGCATAATCATAAGTGCAGAGATACAGGAATGTTCACACCACGTATCTAGCATCCCAAAAGTGCCCCCAAGGTCTCTTTCCTTGCAGACTTCCAGCAGTAGTCGGTAACAGTTTGTAGATAGTGACTGGTTGGAGGAGATGGTAGCCTGCTTTAGAGAATGATTCTGTTTGGGATATATTGAGATTGAGGTACCTTGGGACATAGGTGTCCCTCCCAGCAGGACACCCCCCGCCCATCTCTCCCTGCCTCTGCCCTGGCATACAAACAGTCTGGGTTGGAGAGAGGATGAAAACCTATCTGGATGTGGGCTCAGGGTTTTCAATACCCCATTCATGGAGCTCAGTTCAGCCCCCAGTGGAATAATCAGCTTTTGTCTTCCCTCAGCCTGGCCTGCAGACAGCTGGGAGATGGGCAGTTGAGAGCTGTGAGAAGGGGGGATCCACAGTGATCTGGGGCTTCCCCCTCCTCCCAGGCTTCAGGGCCATCCACCTCTCAGGCTGCTGGGACAGTGGCTCCCCCAGGTCAGGTCAGCCTCCACTATGTGAGTATGGGGACAGAGAACCTAGCTGGGGATCTTTAAGTCCCTCCACTATCGCCGGCCGCCTAGACCCAGGAATGAGAGAGGAAGACCCTTGATCCTGACCCCCACTGACCTCAAATCCCAGCGGCCCCAAGAGCTCTCAGTGGGCCTCCCGAAGCCTGCCTCACCCCCAGGCTTGCTTTTGCCTCACCCCTTGGAAGCTTTGGTTCCCTGCCTTCCATCCACGTAGCTCTCAGGAGCCCTCAGCCCCTCCTCTGCCCTTTACTAGTACACCTTTTGTCTCTTACAGTGCAGAGCAGGCAGCATAACACCATGTTAGAAGCCACTACCTGTGTGAGTTCACCTTGTTCAACCTCTCTGTGCTATAAAATGGAGTATTAGCCTTACCTCTAACAGGTGTTGCTGGGTTAAATGAACTAAAGCTTATAGCACACTGCTTGACCCACCATAACTATGGTAGCTATTAATATTATTACTGTCTCCCCATCTAGACTGTGGGCCCTCAAGGATAGAAACCAGATCTTGTTCAATGGTAGCACCCTGCACAGGTGAGCACTCAGAAAATGATTGTTAAATGACTGAATGAAATTTAGGGCTGTAGAATCATACAATGAAGCAGCCATAAAGGGCCTGGGAATCATTAAGAATGATTGATTCCACATTTGACCAGTGAAAAACTTATCACTTATATACACACACACACACAAAAGTGAAGGATTCATACCTGGGGGAATGTTCTGGACTCTTTTTGTTCCTTCTTCTACAGTCATCCAAGGCAAAAGTTTAGAAGGAAGAAGGATCCCCTGAATGCAAATCAACACAAATTTTTCTTCTTTTCTTTCCAAAGCTGGAAGATGAGCAGAAGCCAAGGCCCGGCCATGGAGCTGGCCGGTGACTCCAGCCTGTCTCCACTGAACCTTGGGGCAGAGGAAGGCAAAGGGAGAGTGGAGGTGGCCTGCACAGTCTGGAGTAGCCCCAGAGAAGGGGCACCCAGGCAAAGGAGGAGCTATGGGGTGGCGGAGAGACTTGGACTCTCAAACCAGGCAGCCCCTCCTTCTCCCTCCCCTATCCCAGGACTCAGGTTTCAGAAAGGTCTGGGTAGGTCTCCACCCCTTTGTAGAGCAGCCAAGCATCCCTGATACAACTTAGTGCTGTTGCCTGGGGAGTCCCCTAGACCATGTCCTGACCCAGGTCCTTCCTGGGGGTTTGGAAACTGGGTCACAGGAACCAGAGTGTGTGCAGTGGACTCCCCATGTCAGCAGGGTCTCCCTGGGTGCTGCTTATTTTGCTTGATTGTGCTTCCTCTTGAGTTTGGTACCTTTTGGGCTTTTGCAGTTGTAGGTGATGGGAAGTGGCAGAGGGCTTTTTCCACAGCTTGTAGCTCCACTAAAGTGCTCCGCACCATTCTGCTAGAACAACAATTCTCTGAGCTGGAGGGGCCTTGGCGGCCCCCACAGGGTGTTTCCCAAACCTGATTGTGCATGTCCATCACCTCCCAGGGGGCACTTAGAAATTTATGATTCCTGTCCCCACTACTTCTGCCCCAGAGAGTTCCATCCAGTAGTTCAGGCATGGGGTCCCCCCAAAAGTGTATATTTGTAAAGCCCCTGAGATTAAACAAGTCTGGGGTGCAGCCTCCTAGTCTAAGTTACTTATGGTTCCGGCTGGAAGACTGAAACCCTCAGAGGAAAAGTGGACACAGCTCGCGCACCCAGAGGGACTTGGCCTCCTGACTCTCGGGCATGACCTTTCCTCCCACTTCTCAGAAAGAGAGAACCCTTGGAAAGGAGTCTGCTACCACCCACTCCCAAACCTATACACCCTTGCGTGTGTACCCATCCGGCCTTCCTCCCCTGGCCTGAGAAGCCGCTCCCCCGCAGTCCAGACCCCATCTCCTTCCGCCTTGTCAGGGACCTCCCTCTCTCCATCTGCGCAGCTTCTCTCTTCCCCGCTCAGCTGCTCGTTCCCAACTGGATTCTTTGTGCCACTGAAAGCAAACAACAGAAAACCCTTTCACCCTGAGTCACTTGAGTCCCGGGGGAGCAAGAGCAGGCCCTATGCCCTACCATACGGGGTGCCTGGCTGGGGGTGCCCCGGAGGAGGGTGGCCCTCTGCAAAGGCTGCAACAGAGGCTGAAGGCGCTGCCCTTGGAGGCTGTCAGGTCGCCGGTGAGCTCGATCTGCTCTGGAGGTCTGAGCAGAGCATAACCTGGTGCCTCCTCTGCACCAGCTGAAGCCCCACCTCTGCCCATATCACAGCCACACTTCTCTGGAGAGCCCTCTAGGGTCACTTCTCCACCCCCTTACCCTGCTCCTCAGCACCTCTGGCCGGCAGGGTCCTCACCACCCATGGCCACTAGGTCAGGAGAGTCCAGGACAACTTTGACTCCTCGCTTTCATTAGACTATGGGCTCTGGCACCTGTAATATACAGAACCTGCAGTTGTCTGCTCTGCCTAATTGTGTGCATAACCAACAGCCCCTAAATCCCAATGACTTACAGCAACACATGTTTCCTCTCTCGGTTCTGTGCGTTGCCTGCGGTGGTCTCTTTCAGGCTGTGGGCTGGCTTCAGGTCTGCAGTACATGTCTCATTCCAGGGGCCAGGTCAGAGCCTTTACCGGGGGCATGTTCCTTCCACAGAGGAAGGCAGAAGCCCCAAAGACCAAGTCAAACCCTGCAAGCACGCTTCCCACAGAACATGCAGAAGTGAAATCCCGAGCTAGAGGAGAGTATTTTTCCAAATATTTCCTCTGAGAGTCATTGAAGCTTCATTCCTTGATCCTTTCACAGACAACTATAGGAGCATGTTTGAGGAAGCACTGGTGTTGAAGGAGAGTTTTGGGTGACCAGAAGCAGGGGGCATTATGTTTGTTCAAGGCTTACTTTCAGAAACAGCCTAAGGCCGAAGGGCTGCCAAGACACACATCCCAAGGGAAAGTGCTCTTGTATTGGGCAACCTATGGCTCAGAGGAAACTTCTGGCAGCAGCTGCCACATTCTGAGAATCAAGGAAACACTTGTGGGTCAGAAACCTTTTAGTGCAATATGTGTAAACTTTAACATTTATTTTTAATTGCGGTAAAATACACCTATCATAAAATGTATCATCTTAATCAGCTTAAAGTGTACAATGTTAAGTATATTCACATTGTTGTGCAACAGATCTTCATCTTACTGAACAAAATCTGTCTCCATTAAACAACCCCTCAAATATCCCTCCCCCAGCCCGGGGCAATCACCATTCCACTTTCTGTCTCTGATTTTGATGACTCTGTGCATCTCTTATTAATGGAATTATACAGTATGTTCTTTTGCGACTGGCTTATTCCTCTCAGCATGTCCTCAAGGTTCACCCAGGTTGCAGCATGTGTTAGAATGTCTTTCCTTCTTAAGGCTGACTACAATGGTTTATGGATAGACCACATTTTATTTGTATCCATTGAAGTCATTCTTGATTCTTCTTTTCCTTGCATCCACGGTCAGCATCCATTCCGCAGCAAATCTTCACCAGCTTAGTTTCAAAATACAGCTAGAGCCCAACTTCTTCTCTTTCTCCATAATGTCACTTGAATACAGGAAAACATTTCTCATCCCCAGTGACTTCACTCCCTAGTGGGCATTTAGCAACTTCGGGAAACATTTTTGCTGTCAACAACTGGGAAGGGTAGATTTTGGGGAATCATAACCAGCTTGATGCAGTCAAATGTCCCGTACCCTCCTTAACATCCATGTGTCTGTGGCCCAGGTCCATCTGGCCTAAAGTGTCCACCAGGCTGAACTGTCTTATACTCACCACCATAAAATCTGCTCTGACTCCGGCGGTAGCCTACTGATTGGTCTCCTTGCTTCCATGAATGTCCTTCAAAATATATTCTATGCACAACCAGGTATCCTTTTTTTTTTTTTTTTAAAGATTTTTTTTTTTTATTTTATAGAGGCACGTTTATTTATTTATTTATTTGTTTGTTTGTTTTGTTTACACATGCACTGGGTACAGCCAGAAACACGGGAGGGTGAGAGAATTCACCAGAGCCAGAGCGGGGAGCAGAGCAGGCAGAAGGACCGGAGTACACTGCTGAGGGGAGCAGCGGGCGGCAGGAGAGGTCTGCGCGCCATGTGGGACCCTCCTCTGGTGGCCGGGGAGCAGCCGGGGATCGAACCAGCGGGCAGGTTCGCAACCCAGCGCTCAACTGCTGCGCCACCGGGGAGGCCCAAACCAGGTATCCTTTTAAAGGTAAATCACATCCTGCTCTCACCCCGATAGAATGAGATCTAAAAGCCCACCTGGCCCTTCATGAAGTGGTGCCTGGCTGCCTCTGAGAGCTCACTTCCTACCCCTCCCTTTCTCATTTATTAGGTTTTAGCCACACTGGCTCCTCACCATTTCTTGGACAGCCAAGTCTGCTCCCACTTCAGGGTCTTTGCATTTGTAGTTCCCTTGACTTGGACCTGTCTTGCTCCAGATACTTGCATGACTCTCTCCCTCACTGTATTCAAGTCTCTGCTCTAAAGTCAACTCCTCCTAAGACCTTTCCTGAACATCCTTTCCAAACTAAGAGTTTGCAGTCATTCTTCATCCTTCCGGTCCAGTCTGACATGTCTGGTGGTCCTGTAACTTCAATATCACACTCCTGGCCACGGGAGGTGAGCAGGTGGTCAAAAACATACACCAACTCTTGGAAAGTTCTCAGTTAGTCTTTTACTTCTGTAGCTTGACCTCTGAGGAAGACCTATAGCTCACAGTGTAAAAGATGGCCATGTCTTTAGCAGACAGAATGCATCCCATACAATCACCTGCTGGGTAGGGAATATGATATGGATAATAGCCCCCCTTGCTGGATGAGTGTAGACACTGGGGACAAGCGAGGGGGAGACAGACATATCCATAAAAGGATGGTGGGGACAAAAATGGGTTCAATGTTAGTATCTGTGAACAGTGCAAACACATATACCATTTGACCCACAAATCTGCTTCTAAGATGTGATCGACAGACAGCTCCCATGCAGATGTGTAAAGAAAGATGTACAAGAAGTTCTACTGGGTTGTCGGAAGGGTCATGACCTGTTTAAACATAGAAAAAATATATCATGACTTTTCCAACAACCCAATAGTTTGTAGCAGGGGAAAAATGCAACCATTAAAGTAAAGGTTCAGCAGGAAACCGTGGGATTAATTGTGGTACACCCATATAATGGTCTTCTCTTCAGCCAATAAAAAGAGTTCAGTGATTTCAGCACCAGAGCTGTCCCCAACATCTTGTTATATCCAAAAGAAAATTTCATTGCTGTATAGAATATGATCCCCATTTTACAGTGTATTTTTAAAATAAAATATTTCTTTTGGAATAATTTTAGATTTACAGAAGAGTTGCAAAAATCGTGCCGCGTTCCTCTCTACTCTCGTTCTACTCCTGCTTCTCCTAATGTTACTGAGAATCTTCTATAACCACACTGCATTTGTCAAAACCAAGAAATTAACTTTGGTACATTAATATTAACCAATTTCCAGATTTTTTTTGGATAGTACCAGTTTTCCCACCAACACCCTTTTTCTGTCAGGATCCAATCTAAGACACCACCTTGCATTTAACAAGCATATTTTAAAATTATTATCATGGAAGTCTTCAAGGATTCACCACAACTGTTAACAATGGTTTGGGTGGGAGAGAGTGGTTTGCATTTTGACATTAGATATTTTATTTTTTAAGGTGATTTCAAACGCTCTATAATAAAAAGCCCAAGTATTGAATAAAATACTCATTTTCCTTCACTATAAGCAAGGTCATATACTTAACCCAGTGGGGTGAATTTTACACACTATTTGCCATTTTATAATGAAATTGTTTCCCACACACTTTCAAGCCCCTTTCCTTTTATACCCCCAAATTTCCTTTCATGTCATGTCACCCACTGAATAAAAAATGTGCTAATCTGAGGACTTTGGAGTCTGTCCAGCTAAAGTGTAGTTACAGAATTAATAAAATGGCAGTCAGACCAGGAGCATATGAGTTTGTGTATCTGGCAAATTCCAGCTGCTCCACAATTCGTGGCTATTCTTATTCTGCATCTCAAGCCAGCTATTTTGTCTTCCTAGGGTGACAAACAGAAAGGAAATTCCATTTTTTTTAAAGATTTATTTATTTATGCATACAGGAACTGGGGTGTAGGCCAGAGGTGGGGGATGGGGGGTGAGTGAGAGGCTTCACCAGAGACAGAGTGGGGAGCAGAACAGGCAGATTAACTGAAATACACTGCTGAGGGGAGCAGCGGGAGAGACAGGAGAGGTCTAATTGCCTTGTGGGTTAGCGAACTGGCAAGGCAGAGATCCAACTTGTGCTGCAGTGGCTGGTGATAGATAGCTTGATAGTGCTGGATCTTTAACCCCTGCACCATCAGGGAGGCCTCAGGAAAGTCCTATTTTTTAAGCACCTAATACAAACTAGGTGGGGAGATGGGAGTGTAAATATAGCACTTATCTATATGCAAGTTATTTATTTGGGTGTATCTCTTCCTGACACACAAAATGTGTGTTATTAACTCTCAGTACAAATGTTAAAGAGACAGGTGTAGAGGCACAGGGACAGGAACTGGGGTCCAGCAGATCTGGGACTGAACTTGGGTTTGAGCCCTTGCTGGCTGCATTACCTCGGACTCTCCCTGAGTTCTTGTTTGCTCTTGTGTCACGTAGGGTTGGTGACACTTCTGAATGGGCACAAAGAAGATCAGGGCGCTTAGCCTAGCCCTGAAATATTATAAGCCAATGATAATTACTGTTAGATTTAGGCTGATTATTTATGAATATGCCCTACAAAGGCACTTTTCTTTTATGATTCGTGCTGTTTTTGCGTGTGTGAGGGGGAGAGCAGGGGTCATATTTAGTAAACACTCTCTACCTCACTCTATCCTAGGAGGTTATATTTTCTTCTAAAAGTTTTCAAGTTTTGTTTTTTCACATTCAGCTCTTTAATCTGCCTAGAATTCATTTTTATGTATGAAGTAGAAATCCAGTTTTTCCCATATGGGCAATAATTGTCACAGCTCCTTTTACCAAGCAGTCCATCTGTTCCTTCTGTCACGTATCACATTTCCACATATGCAAGTGGCTGTTGCTGGGCTCCCTTTTCTCTTCCATTGCTTTTCTCCCCCTTGTTCTAAAGCTCCCTGTTTTAATTACCTGGCTCTAAAATATGTCTCAATACCTGATAGGGTGCATCTCCCCCATTGTTCTTTTCCTTCAAGAGTCTTGGCTTCGTCAGGCCTTCGCTCTGCTATATCAATTTGTCAGGTTCCACCCACATACACATGAAAAACCTGTTGGGATTTTGATAGCAATTACGGGTTAATTTAAGGAGAATTGATCTCTTTAAGATATTGCATTTCCCATCCATGAATATGGGCTCTCCCCGTAGGCATTCTTTGGTGAATTTCAATAAAGTTTCGTGATTTTATTTTCAAAGATCTTACAAAGATCTTTTTTTTTTTTTAATTTATGCATACAAGAGCTGGGGAGTGAGAGGATTCACCAGAGACCAAGTCGGGGAGCAGAACAGGCAGACTGACTGAAATACACTGCTGAGGGGAGCAGAGGGTGAGACAGGAGAGGTCTGGTGCCCCATGGGGGTTAGCAACCTGGCCTAGGATCAAACTCATGCTGCAATGGCTGGGGATAGCTTCATAATGCTGAGACTTAACCCCTTGCACCAACAGGGAGGCCCAAATTCCTAGTGATCTCATACTTGGTTTCAGCAATTGCTCTTACATCTGGTTAACAATCTTCACCTGAAAATGGATCCCATTGTCTTCCTTTTACTTAGATCTGAAATCGAAAGGATTTTTTAACTTTTTCTTTTGAAATCCTGTAAATGAACATTTGTTACCTATAGCTCATCACCCCCCACCCCGAATACACATATATGTATGTATATATGTATATATCCCCATACAAATTTTTTTCTAACCATGGGCAACCATCCCCTCACATCAGGAAGCACCTGATGCCTTTTATCCCACTAATGGGATCATGTTTTTCCACTAATGCTTGTCAGAGTTGTCTATTCACTATAAAGTAGCCACTTTACTCCTTTGCAGTTAATAAATCTTCCTGGAGAAGCTTTGAGACTATTTAACTGTCCTATTCCTATTCAAACTTCCATTGACTGAGAGTTTTGTTTTTTCTTTATGGCAGTAAAATGTACAGAGCAAAAATGACCACTTTAACCATATTTAAGGGCATAGTTTGGTGGCATTAAGCACATTCACATTGCTGTGCTGTTATCCCCACCCTCCACCTCCAGAACCTTCCCCCTATTTATTGGGCTATAAACTGACACATAACGTCGTGTGAGTTTAGCATTCAATGTGTTGCTTTGATAACCTTAATATTGCAGAATGATGACGGCTTTACCTAGCTGACACTGCCATCAGGCCACCAACTAATTTTGAACACGCACCGCCTAAATTCTTGCCTTGATCTATTATTATGATGATGATTGCAAATGGATATTTTCTAAGTTGCTCATTCCTTCTACAATGATTTGTTGGCATTCGATGTAAGGATATTTCTCATTTATTTTTATGTGTGCATTTATCTGTCATCAGCATGGACACTCATGGACTCTTATTTTAGTCAATGGATAGCCCTTATTGTCCTTGTTCACGTGAATGCTCCTTTGTCCCTGATTTGGCCTTTGGGGACCTTGTAGCCTATTCAAACCTGCCCGTGTGTTCTTTCAAATAATCATTTTTTTGAGCATTTTTTGGTATAACAAGATGTTGCAGATTCACCTTGTTCTTTCCTGGCTGTAGCCCTAGAATCAGTCAATTCTTCAAGGAGCCCTAGGTCCTGTGTTTAGAGAGGAATAGCGTTTAGAAACTATTATTTGGATTCTGAAGAATTTTTTTTAAATAATAAATTTTATTTTTATATTCCCCATACAATTGCAACCCCCCATTCTGACCCCAATCCCTCCCCTCCCGCCACCCACCCCCCCAAAAGTGTCTCTGGTTCATAGTTTTTTGTTGATTTTGATTTTCACTTTCTTATAGTTATTCATTTTCCTGGTCCCTTATTTAAGTTTTCTAGATTCCTGCTATGAGTGAGACCATCCGGTATTTTTCTTTTTCTTTCTGGCTTATTTCGCTGAGCATGATCCCTTCCAGTGCCATCCATGTTGCTGCAAATTGCATGTGTTTATCTTTTTTGAATGCTGAGTAATATTCCATGGTGTATATGTACCACATCTTCTTGATCCAGTCATCTATTTTTGGGCGTTTGGGTTATTTCCAAAGCTTAGCTATTGTAAACAGTGCTGCTATAAACATAGGGGTACAGGTGCTCTTTGGAATTGATGTTTCTGTGTCCTTTGGGTAAATACCTAGGAGTGGAATTGCTGGATCATATGGAAGCTCTATGTTTAGTAGGTCCAGAAATCTCCACACAGCTCTCCATAGTGGTTGGACCAGTAAGGGGAACACTCTGGGTTGGTGGAGAGGCCTTTAGAGAATTATGGCCACGAGGGGGCAGCATTTCTCAGAAAAATGCAAGTAACCTGGCATCCAGACTTTTTTGGATGAGTGAGAACACCCAGGTAGGGTAGTCCTCTCTCCCAAAAAACACTAACACAGCTCCTCTCACGTGGGATCACCACCCCATGATCATACAGACGCCCATCCTCACCAGTCTTACCCCCTGCAGCGCATGCCTCACCTCACCAATTTCTTCATCTTTTTTTCTGACACCTTCTAAGAAGGTATTAGGCTCCCCACAGAGTGAGAGGCGGGGATAGTTGCAAGGCTTCAGGGAAGCCTAGATAGCTGATCTCCAGACCACTTCACTGTACTTCCAGCAAAATCTGCAAACGCAGGGCCTCCCTGGTGGCACAAGGGTTAAGAGGCAACCTATGCAGTAATTCGCAGCCACTGCAGCAGGAGTTTGATCCCCAGGCCAGCCTGGGAGCTACCCACATGGCACAGTAGACCTCTCCTGACTCTCCTGCTGCTCCCCTCAGCAGAGTACTTCGGTTAATCTGCCTGTCCTGTTCCCCACTCTGTCTCTGGTAAATCCTGTCACCCCCCCCCACCATATCTCTGGCCTGTACTCCAGCTCTTGTATGCATAAATAAATAAATCTTTAAAAAAAAAATCTGCAGGGCCTCCCTGGTGGCGCAGCGGTTGAGCGCTGGGCTGCAAAGCCACCCACAGCCTCTGCAGCGCTTGTTCTATCCTCGGCCGCCAGCAAGGGTCCCACATGGCGCGCAGACCTCTCCTGCCACACCCACTACTCCCCTCAGCAGTGTATTTCGTCGGTCTGCCTGTTCTGTTCCCCGCTCTGGCTCTGGTGAATTCTCTCACCCTCCCATGCTTCTGACTGTACCCAGTGCTTGTATAAATAAATAAATAAATAAATATATTTTTTTAAATCTGCAAATGCAGCTGTAGTTAACAAGCACAAAGGCCCCTTCCCCAGCTGGTTCCACTCCTAGTACAGTCTCCCAGCTCAGTGCACCTCAGGGGCCTCTGAAGACCACAGTCGGCTCCTTCCCTCTGGCCTGGGAGGCAGGAAACCCAGAGGGGAGGGTTTCCTCATGTGCTCTGACCTCTGACCTGCCGCTTTTTTGCTGGCTGCCTCCACCCCTACCTCTATGTTGATTGGGTCAGAGGAAGTTGTGGGATAATTTCTTCCCTCCATTATTTTCCCACATGTAGAGTACTAAAACAAATAAAAAACACCAAGGACCTTAGCTCTATAATTCAATTACTTTAGAAGCAAGCATTTGCAAGTGAGTATACACTTCTGCACCTAGGATTCAGTTTTTGAAATCTTTCTCCCTTCCTAAAGGAGTTTCACTCAGGCTTGGCATAGAATAGGCCACTAGAACTTTGCAGGAGTCCTGGCTCTTGTCTCCAATCTTGCCCATCCCCAGCCAGAGCTGTCAGATCATTACAAGCTTCAGCACCTTTCTGGGGCCTTCCTCACCTGCACAGTCCAACATCCCAGACCAGGCACCTTCATTTGTCCTGCCTTGCGCACCCTCCCACTCCCTGAGGTTCAGCAACTCTGAGCTCCTGGGGATTTTTCTGAAACCCACTCTTCCTAGCCCCCTGTTCACCCAGCTGCTACTGCCTCAACTGACCTCCACTCCTGCCTCCCATAAAGTTGACTGCAGTATAAAACTCCCTGCTCTCTTGGTGGTACCTCCCCCAGTTTTCCCACTTGAAACGAGCTCTATGACATCTCTGGTCAAACTCTCCCACCCTTCAACCAAAGCCTTTCTCCCGGTCTTGCCAGCAACTTGGGACAGCTCTTGGCTCTGGCTCTGGCTCCTTTGCTGAGAGCTTGAGGGCAGGCCCAAAAAGGGTAGACATGTGAGGGGGGGTGGGAAAGTGATGAGGAATGATGACCTACAGACCAGGTTGCCCCTGCTTCACTGACATTAATACAAAGCAGTTGGGGAGCTAGTGAACCATGGGTTCTGGGGTGGGGCTGAGAGCCTGCATTTCCAACAAGCCCAGGTGAAGCCAAGGCTGCTGGTTTGTGGGCCACCTTGCGGAGTAAGGGCTGGCCAATGGGATTGGCTCGGGAAGGGAGTCGGTTGGCAGCCCAGGTGTGGCTGGCCTTCATCCAGGGTATAAGATGGTGGGTGGCCACTGCCTAGCAGTTCCCGGGAGGGAGGGGGTGTGTAGGCGCCATGGGGCTGAGCTACTGGCTCTTCGTCTGCTTTTTGCTCTGGAGAGGCCTGGGGCTGTGCTCCCCTCAGCCCTTCTGGAAGGATTCCACCCGCCACTCCTTGCTCTCTGAACAGCCAGTGTTGGTGGAGTGTCTGGAGGCCCAGCTGGTGGTCACGGTCAGCAGAGACCTTTTCGGTACAGGGAAGCTCATCAGGCCTGCAGACCTCACCCTGGGCCCTGATAACTGTGAGCCCCTGGCCTCCATGGACACCGATGATGTGGTCAGGTTTGAAGTCGGGCTGCATGAGTGTGGCAATCACTTACAGGTGAGGCTTTGGCTCCGCAGAGGCCCTGACTTGGCTTGGGGGTGGGGGTGGGGCAGGGGAGGCACCTGGGTTGGGGAGTGTGGATGCAAAGCCAGTGGGCGGTAGGTGGGACTGGAGCAGATCTTTCACGTGTGTGTGTCTGTGTGTGTGTGTGTGTGTAGAGCAGGTGAAGCCTGAAGCTGGGCTTTGGTGGCTTTAGTGGCATGGAGGAGGGGTAGGAGTATGAATGCCTACTTCTGGTCGCTGAAATCAGGGAGTTAGGGTAGAGTCCAGAGGTGCAATCCACTTTGGGTCAGACCTGATACTCCCACTCTGACTCTTAAGGCAGCATGAGCTCCTAGAAGGAATCCAGGAGATGAAGCTCCTCGGAGGGTGTGTGATAGGAAAACCCTGCGGTTAGGCCAGCTCTTGCAGGGGATGGGGGTGGGGTGTCTCTAGAAACCTGTGGGGAAGAGAATTTTGGTCTCCCTCTCTGTTAATGACTTGAAAAGAACTAAAAAATAGCATTTGGGGGAAGGGGACCAAGGGAGCATCTTGATCAACAAGTGAAAGATCATAAAGATCTTAAACTGGGGCCCTGGAGCGAGTTCCAGTGCAGTAGGAGGAGCTTCATGTGGGAGGCAGCACAGGAAGAGTTGAGTGCACAGGGTTGGGGGTGGTGGAGAGATACTCAGCTACAGGGAGGGACTTTCCAGCAAGGCTGGGCTGGGCACAGATCCTAAGAGGCCCACATCTCTGGACTGACTTCCAATCACCCCCAAAAGAACCTATCTGTAACAGGGTGATCCCCAGGAAAGGGGGAGGTTCTAGGTTTCCTGCCCCACCCAAAAGGAGGGTGGAGCTGAGCAGGGAGGAGAAGCTGCAGAGGAGACTGAGGAAGGAAGCAGCATGGAGAGCCAGAAGGAGACCTGCAGGAGGAACATGGAGCCGGGAGACACATGAAGAAACTGCGCTTGCCTTTTGGTCATGGACTGGGTGACACAGATGTGGGTGAGAGACCCGTGGGGCGGTGACAATCGATTTTGATTTTGCTCATTTCCTTCCAGACTTGTCTGGTTGTTTCTGATCCTTTTCTGTGGGTCCCCACTGAAAGATGCTTTAGACTTGTAATAGGCTTTGGGGCCTTGTTCTGGGCCAATCCTGCTTGGGTGGACTTTTATCCACGAGAGGACAGGTAACTTTGGGTGCTTGATTTAGAAACTATATTTTTTGCCTTTCCTGTATTGTTTCCTAATTGTGTTAAAGTTCTTTTTCACTAAAGTCTCATATGTTTCGTGTTGATGCGGTGGATAGCAGAAACTATTTAGAGCAGGCAGGTTTGTGGGGCCTGGGGTGTCCCTCTCCCTACCCTGTAACAGATTCTCCCCTCTCTCAGGACCCCCACCTTGCCTGAACTTGTTACAGGGCAGGGAGAGGGGCACCCCAGAGCCCCCAAACCTGCCTGCTCTCAATAGGTTTCTGCCATCTGCCACATCAAGGCAAAACATACTCTAGTGCATACAAGCTTTAATACAATTAGTGTGCAACAAAGGGAAGAATATAGTTTACAAATCAAACACCAGAAGTGGGTAAGTGTCCAGCCAAACTGGGTTGCCCCAAAGCAGGGCCACTGAGGCCCCAAAACCTGGCACAAGTCTAAGGCACCTCTTGGTGGGAACCCATAGGAAAGGGGCAGAAGGCGCCCAGCGCATCTGGGACAGAGGAGCAAAATCAAGATAAAAGCTGCCATTGTGAACCTCCCAAGTTCTCTCATCCACATCTGCTTCACCCAGTCCAGGACCAAGAAGCAAGTGCAGCTTCTTCATATGTCTGCTCCATGTGCCTCCTCCAGGTCTCCTTCTGGCTCTCCATCCTGCTTCCTCCTAGTCTCTCTCCAACTTCTCCCTGCTCAGCTCCACCCTTCCTTGGGGAAGGGCAGGGAAACTGGAACCCCCCCCCCCTTTCCTGGGAACCACCCTCTTACAAACCCATCTGGCTGGCCTGGACTCGGTAGCTTGGCTGGGTGGACAGGACAGGCCCCGGAGCCCTCCAACAGAACTCTGGTCTTAAGTGTGGTTCCCAGGTTCCCCTTTAAGACTTCTGGCCCTTGTTTCCCTGAGGAGAGGGAGGCCAGAGCTGAAGGGGTGATTTAAGAGAATTAGTAACTCCCAACTCTGAGAACGAGAATCACCTGGGGAGTGTCCAAAGGTCCTCAGGCCCTTACCCCATGCTAAGTCAGAATCAAAGTAGAAGCTGGGTGTCTTTAAGATTCCCAGGTGACTCCCCTCTCCAGGCGCAGGTTTTGCATTCAGGGCCTGTGTTCTAGGCATTTGTTGGGCTGGCCTCTCTGCACCCTTGTGTGGGTCAGGCCCACCTGGGCAGGTGACTCCAGGAGAGCTAACCCTCCCCTTCTCTTGCAGTTGACTCATGATATGCTGGTGTACAAAACCTTCCTGCTTCACGACCCCCACCCTTGGGGAAACCTGTCCATCTTGAGGACTAACCATGTGACGGTCCCCATCGAGTGCCACTACCCCAGGTCAGCACAGGACAGGGCGTGCCCCTGGCGCAGAGGTCCCAGCAGCCTCCTGGCAGCATGGCTGAGAGAAGGCTTATAGCCCCTGTTCTCAGGCTGTAGTCGCTATTCTCAGGCCCCAGAGCAGTGGGGGACTGAGCCTGTCTGAGTTTCTGAAGTGCAGCAGGGACACAGTCCCCCGCCCACCCCACCCATCCCCCCCCCCACCTGAGAGGGTGGGATGGGACAGCCCAGGTCCCCTTGGAATTCAGTGCAGGGGTGGGTTGCGGCCTCTGACCTGGGCCATCACCACCTGTTCCTCTCCTACCACTTCTCCCCGGATGCACGGGATGAGGAAACCCCTCCAGTGCCCAGCCTAATATTATGCCTTTGACCATGAGTGTTGAGATGTGGGGAGAGGGTCACCATGACCTATAAGGAAGATGTGGGCCCTCTGCTGGGCTGAATGCACAGTGCACAGGCCTTAGAGGAGGGTTGTGGGAGGTGCTGATATCAGTGAGGGCACCAGTGATGAGCTCTGTGCCTGGGGACAGTGGGGGTGGGGAGTTCCCAACAAGACCCTGGGTCTGGGCAGTGGGTGGGGCTGAGACAGTCTGGGCTGGGCCAGGTGCACATCCTAAAGGAAGGGGATGGATCACTAATAAGGGTTGAAGCCCCATGGAGGAGAGGGAGGCTGGACGGGGAGAGCAAAACTGGGGGCTAGTCAATAAGGGGAGGGGACGGTGAAGGTATTCAGGTTCACACCTGGTGGGTACCCCTCCCTGAAGACCACGCAAAATGGTTGAAGACAGCAACAGAAGGTCATCGGGAAGCTGGTACAGACAGGTGGAAACTGGTGAGACCAGGAGGGAGGTGGGAAGGAGTGAGGTCTGAGTAGAGCAGGGCCCTCTTGAGGGAGCTAGGAGAACTGCTGGAGCTCTGCGTTGGAAGGGGCAGGAGCTGACTCCTCAGTCTCTCAGAATGTGGGGTGGCCTGCCCTAGGCTCACTGCTCTCACCTACCTCCTGACATCTGAGGCTTCTGAGAAGATGCAGCCCCTGAAGTAACCTTTCTTCCATGAGGACTGGTGGCATCAGTGGGGCCAATGCCTAGAGAGCCGATGGTTCCAAAATTTCTAGTCCCAATACAGGCTGCACAGTGGCCTCTCAAGAGCCAGAGGCCAGTCTGTGTTTATACTGAAGGACTTCCTTCCCTTCAATGAACACTCCTCTCAAGGATCTCGAGGGGCGCTGAGCAGGGGTGGGTCTCAGACCCTAAACCTCTAGGATTAACCTTGCTGAGGAGCAGTTGTGGCCTAGAAACCAGACTTGGGGCCTTCATGGCATTGTGGCTGCTAGGGAGGGCCCACTCACAGGGATGGAGTTCTGGAGGGTTGAGGGGCAGGCTCAGATTTCAGGTGTCGGTTCAGTTGTCTTGAACTAGATGCCTTGCTGGACCACGGCTGCAGGCTTGGCAATAAGGTAGAAGTGAGACCTTCCCCAATAATGCAGGGCCAGATGGGCCAGGACAGGTGTGAGCAGCTGCTGTTCTTCCAGGCAGGGCAATGTGAGCAGCCATGCCATCCTGCCCACCTGGGTGCCCTTTAGCACCACCATAACCTCAGTGGAGAAGCTGACCTTCTTTCTGTACCTGATGGAAGGTAAGCAAGGAGGGTTGTCAGGGGTGGGGGGCAGGGGTGGGCGGGAGTTGTCAGGGCCATGGCTTCTCAACCGACTGTCTTTCAGAGGACTGGAAGACAGAGAGGAAGTCCCCTACCTTCCAGCTAGGAGATACAGCCCACCTCCAGGCCTACGTCCGCACCGGCAGCCACGTGCCACTGCGATTGTTTGTGGACCACTGCATGGCTACGCCCACGCCAGATCAGAACAGTGCTCCTTCTCACACCATTGTGGACTCCCATGGGTGAGGGCTGGGCTGCCTTTCTAGGGAACCCTCATAGCATCATCTCCAGTAGTTTCCTCTGCCTTTAATTCCATTTTTTTAAAAGATTTATTTATTCAAGCACTGGGTACAGTTAGAAGCATGGGAGGGTGAGATAATTCACCAGAGCCAGAGCAGAGCAGGCAGACTGACGAAGTACACTGCTGAGGGGAGCAGCATGCGCAGCAGGAGAGGTCTGCTCACCATGTGGGACACTTGCCCGGCAGCTGGGGATCGAACTGGCGCTGCAGAGGCTGTGGGCAGCTTCGCAGCCCAGCGCTCAACCACTGCGCCACTTGGGAGGCCCTTTAATGTCACTCTTTATTCATTCTCTCTAAAGTTGTCTTGTGGATGGTCTCTCTGATGCTTCTTCGGCTTTCAAAGCCCCCAGGCCTGGGCCAGCGACTCTGCAGTTCACAGTGGACATGTTCTACTTTGCTAATGACTCCAGAAACACGGTAATAGCTTTTTTAAAAGCCTGAAATAAGACTGACCTCTGTCAGGCTGATGGGGCTACCTTCCCTGTCACTCACTAGTACCGTGGGATCTTAGGCCCCAGTTAGCTTCTTCCTAGTTCATTCTTCTGAGGCTAAGGTCGACAGCAGTTTCCTTTCCTGGAATAGGAAGGACACAGAAGGACCCCGAAGTCCTCCTCTGGTGGGGCAGATAGAAGATAGGTGGCCAGCAGTGCATCTGGGCCTATTTAAGTTTCCAGAATGGTTTCCCTGCTGGTGCACTTGGCCACTAGATGGTGATCAAGATTTGTGGCTCTGCAGAGGGCTTCAGCTGGAAGGTGGTAGAACTTCATGCAGATTTGGCGGGGAGGTGGCATCCTAGCTGGAAGGAGAGCTCTGACCTGCAGATGCCCTCTGCCAGAAGACCAGGGTCAACTTTGTAAAGTCTCCCCTACCCCTGATGGCAGGAGGGGATATTGGCCTTTTGGGGCTTGATCCTTTTCTTGTCTGAGGTTCTGATATGATGGGCCTCGGGTCAAACATACTAAGTGATAGGCTAAGTCTGAGAAGGGCTGAGGGGATAAAGATAGTGGGTTCCAATCCAGGTTCTGATTTGCTGCTGCTTGCTCGGAAGTTTTGGGTGAGTTAACCTTTGGACCACTATTGCCCCATTGCCAAAATCGAGTTTTCCTGCCCCTTCATCTTATGCAAGGGTCATATTAGAACTGGCTTTCTAAAGTCACTGCCACGGGCTAGAACTAGCTTTTGTAATTGTTTTTAATTCCAGATATACATCACCTGCCACCTGAAGGTCACGCCGATTGACCAAGTCCCGGACCAACTAAACAAAGCCTGTTCCTTCAGCAAATCCTCAGAGAGGTGAGGAGACCAGGTTTGATAGCCCACCCTTTCCCCCAGTGCAAATTGTCCCTCTAAGCCTTTGTCTTTCCCTGCAGTTGGTACCCAGTAGAGGGCACCCCTGAGATCTGTCACTGCTGTGACACAGGGGACTGTGGCTTTTCAAGCCACCCCAGTCTGGCAAGCTCAGCGAAACAGTGGCGTGAGACCCGCAACCGCAGGCACGGTAGGTCTTGGGCAGCCACCAGGTTATTGCACCTCCACTGCTCACCCCTACCCCTCCCCCCCATTACTTCAGAAAGACATTCCTCTCCCTTATCCCCCATTTAAGGCTGCTTGCCCCTAGAGGAATGTACTTTTGGGTTTTTCTCACATAGAAATCTTAAAGCCCCTCCAATTTAGCACCTCCAATTTAGCACCAAGATTCTTCCAGCAAGTGTCATGGCTACTCTGTCATCTGAGGTTCTACTGACACATAATTGGGGACATAGGGAGAAGAAAGCAGCTGTTAGGACAAAGCCGCCTCGTTCAGCCTCTAAGGCAGAGCAAAGCGCCTGGCCTGCTTCCCAGTTAGGGACAACTTTTATCTTGCTGACTCCTTATATCTTGTTGCCTTTCAGTGTCAGAAGAAGCAGATGTCACTGTGGGGCCCCTGATTTTCCTGGGAAAAGCTGAGGACCATGGTGTGGAGGAGTCGACTTCCCATACCGCTGCGGTACTAGGCTTTGGCCTGGTCACGGTGGCAGCCTTGACCCTGGCTACCCTTGCCTTGGGTTTTGCCCGGAGACATCAAGCTGCTTCCCATCCTGTGGCATGTTCTGTGTGTGCTTCCCAATAAAAGAAGAAAGTGATCTCGGGGTGGTTACTACAGTGACTACAGGTGGGGTGACCTGGGAAGGGGCAGACTGTCAAAAGGGGCCATGCGTTCGAATCACACAATTTGAGTGTGGCCACACCTCTTGGTGTGAGACTGTCTACTCGGTGGAGAGGCCAGACACCACTGTGGGCAGCATGTCCGTCCTGCCAGGCTGGTCCTCTGGGGACTAGGACACTGTGCCCTTCAAGGAAGATAAAAGCTGTTGAGGCTGAATGTAAGGTGGGCCCTGTCAGGCTAGCAAAGAGTCTTGTGCGTCTGGTCCCAGGGATCCGATTCTGGAAACAGGGAGGAAAGGAACTGAGTCCTTTGCTGGAAGCAGTCGACTAGGGGCCAGAGGTGGCTGGGGTCTGGGCAATGATCACCTTGGGCCTGAGGCTGCTGTAGTGGACGGGGAGGAGGTGGCAGTGAGCTTACTGTGGTTAGGTGACTGGTTCTGAGGTGCTTGTCTGGAGAGCTGGGATTGGCTTTGGGATTATCCTCACTGAGGGGAGCAGCCTCTTAGCTCCCCTACTTCACATTTTTCCCACATCGGTTGCCTTTTCCATCCACCCTGGCCACAGTTCCTGGGGGTAACCAGGGGAATGAGGCCCGGGGGAGGTGGCCATGTTTCATCTGAGAGATGTGAAGCCCCTCACAGCAGGCTGGCCCTCAGCTGGTTCCATCTCACCTGCAACTTGACTCCTGTCCTAATGAACTTTCCCTTCTCTGTAAAATCCCAACTTCTCTATTTCCCTTTTGTGATCCCGAGGGTCCTCATGGGCAAAATGGGGCTGGTAACTTACAAGCAGAGTTATTAGGCATAAATTGATCAGAACCAAAAGGCATTTTAATGTTGCATCTGAAATGGCTTCATGGAGTCTGGCTGAGGGAAGGGGCTCACACGTGTTGGTGGGGACATGGAGGCAGGTGTTTAAAATACATTCAGAGCAAGGCTTTGTGATTCTGGGTCTGAAGTATGGAGAGGCCCTTGATCTAGGTCCTCACTTTTTCAAGGGTGGTCTTCGAATACAGCTGGTGTCACCTGGGCCCCAGCCTAGGTTAACAATTGGATTTAAAATCAGGTGTGTGTTAAGGTGCACTGGGCAGGAGATTTGCATCAAGAAAGAATCGTGCTTCTCAAGCAAATTATGGTGAGCTGTGAAAAGAAGTAAAAGACTAGGAGGAGAAAGCTTCCTGGAAGAAGTCCTCAAAGAACAGCCTGCAACATGGGAGAGGTGGGTGCCGTGAAGGAGAGAATGGGGTCAACCTGTACTCTGGGGAACTGAAAGGGGGGTGGGCAGAGAGGCATAGGGCATAGTGACGTGCAAGTACTGACTGCCACACAAGAGTGGACCTTCCTGCCAGCAAGATGACCTGAACAGCTGCAAGCACGGTCGGTCATGAGGCAGGGGAAAGCCAGCCAGGCTCCTTTACCCTCTGACCTGGCAGATCACCTCATATGTAAGAGGAAATGTGAGGATGCAATCGGGAGGGCGAGTTGAGACAGCACTTGGTGGGGTCCTGGTTCATGCAGCAGCACTGTCTCACACCCCATCCACTCCACACGGGACGAGACCTGCTTCCACCACCCCATTTCAAAGGGCATGTCCTTGCCTTCAGGGTCATTGTGCAGGCTCATGTGGTACTTAGGATCCTGCATGCGTTCAGTTGGAGCTGCCCTGTTAACTCAGGTACTCCCAGGACACCCTGGAGTACTGTCCCTGCTACCAATACCCATCTGTCACTTGCCCTTATGTTCTTGGATGTTGCAATATCCTGGGAACTCATCTTTCATTCAACTTCTGCTGTCCTCAGCAGAAAGAGGAAGTGGCTGTGTCTGATGTGGGGAGGAAGTGTGACAAGGATGTGACCCTGAATGTCAGTCTGAGTTTCAGATGGGCCTCTGCTCAGTATAACCTGGCCCCCTGGGGAGGGCAGGAAAGACAGCCTCCAGCAGTAATGTCAAAGGGCCTGGCCTTGATTTGAGGTGGAGCTTGAGTGGGAGAGGAAGAGGAAGGGCAGGCGGCTAAGGGCTGTCTCAACTTCCACTGCTTGCTGTGGTCTCCCTCCCTAGTGTCCGGAGCAGTTTTCTATTCTGTCCTTGAAACTCTTGGTGAATCAACACTTCGTAAGTTTTAAAATTTTGTGCTTCCTGGTAGCCAGGGGGAAAGGTAGATGAGTTACGTTAAAAGGACAATTTTGACAAGTAAACCATGATGATCTAAATACAAGATGTCAAAGATCTTGTTTCAACTCAAGGAAAGCTAAGATGGAAAAGCGCTGGTTAAAAGGAGAATGCAAAGATTAAATTTCTACAAAGGTAATCAGGAATGCAGAAATGAATTTGCTGATACAAAAACGACTGCTTCCATGGAGCAGAAATCAATTGCATCTCTATGGACAAGAGTTATTTATATTACATTACTATCAGTTTTCTACAATTTATAGGATTGTAGAATTCCTTAGTAAGGCTAGGAAAAGCTTATGGAATCAAATAATCTGGACCAGCGCTTGAGAGCATGCACTTATCTTTTTGCCTACTTAAAAGTCTTTCACAATGTTTCCTGACAAGTGTTAGATTTATCAGCTATTTTATGCAAGAGATTCTAAGCAGCTCCAAGAAACAGGCAAGTTTGCAGGGGAGGGTAGGCGCCCCCAGGGACCGCATTTCCAGCCCTTAGACTAGGAAGGCTGACTTGTCAGTCAACACACAAGGAATCCCTTGCTTTTGAGCAACTCTGGATCCCAAACCAGGCTGCAGGAGTATTCATTTACAATGAGAACAATAACAGTGTGTGGGGGTGGGGGATGTACAGGTTAACTGTGACTAGTGTTAAGACAAATTTCTCTGATGAATTAACTGCAAGTAGTTAACTCAGACTTGCAGCAAGGGAAGTAGCAAGGAGGTGAAGCCAGTTCAAAACACATTCCAAGGGGGCAGGACTTAAGTAAGACAATGCTTTTAGGGAGGACAGCATCCTCAGGGCTGCAAAGCATATCATTTTTTGTTGGTTGTGTGGGTCACACCTGGGTACTGAACAACTATATGACCCGGAAATGCCAGGTGCTGTCTATTAATCAGAAATAATGAGTGAGGCAGCTGTGGCTTCTCAGCAGACAATTTCTCCAGAGTGTCAGGTGGAGGCCAATTAGCTAGGGCACTAAGCAACAAAATTCTGCTTTTGCAAGCAAAACAGGAGAAAGCGCTCCTGCCCCTTAGCGGTGACCCGGGCCTGGTATGATGCCTTTTCTCGGGTTTGGTTGATCTTTTCCTGCTCCCAGGCAAGCAGGGGGCTGGTTCCAGGATTGGAATCTTCCAAGACAGTAAGCCCTGACTCCGGAGTGCAGTTGCAGGACTTTTTAAAAAAATCTAAATTACTTTGACCACTCCCCTCCCTGTGAACATATGTAAACACTTCTGGGGACCCCAGCCATGGTCTGGTTGACAAACAACAAGCCATCTCACAGGCTCCATCTTGTATACAGAAATCTGTCTAAAGGTGTCAGTCTTCAGATAAGGATTGAACTATGGGAATCTAGCCTTTGCATCTTGCAAGGCATTATTCAGATGACGTTGAATTATTCCTCTAGCGTCAGCATATTTTTTAAAAAAAACTTAATTGACATAACACTGGTGTACAACACTGTACATGATTTAGGGGAGTAGGTTCACACCTCCTAGGATATAGGTCACCACCCCTCCCCCACCACCAAAACACCCAGTCTTTTTCTGTAGACTGCTGGGCCTGCTCCTCAGCATATGCCTAGATAAGGACAATTTAGAACCAGAGCCCCACTGATCAAGAATAATTACATTCTTAATGTCAATGACTCACTATTCCTAGTTATATAAACTATATTCAAATTTATGCTTATTCAGAACAGCCCTCGTGGAGTAAGATCAGTTTGGATTGCTTCCCGGGCACAAACCCTCACATTGATTATCTTATAAACTTTTTTTTTTTAAGAGTTTTTATTTATTTTTTATTTTATTTTTTAGATTTATTTTAATTTATTTATACAAGCACTGGGTACAGTCAGAAGCGCGGGAGGGTGAGAGAATCACCAGAGCCAGAGCGGGGAGCAGAGCAGGCAGAAGGACCGAAGTACACTGCTGAGGGGAGCAGCGGGCAGCAGGAGAGGTCTGCGTGCCATGTGGGACCCTCCTCCGGTGGCCGGGGGAGCAGCCTGGGATTGAACCGGCGCTGCAGAGGCTGCGGGCAGCTTCGCAACCCAGCACTCAACCGCTGCGCCACCAGGGAGGCCCTTATAAACTCTTTGCCTAACTATACTTGAGGTTTTATTTCAGTTAACAAGCCACAGTCTTGGGCTGTATTATTCATTCTCAGGTGCTTAGGAACTATTAAAAGTGGTGGACAGATGGGTGGCACTAACTCCAGATATGCAAAAATAAATAAAAAAAAATTTTTTTTAAAAAGCTTCCCTTGTGGGCAGACAATTTAGGCTGTTTCAGTTCCCACTCCCCCCTGGCCTGTGTGCCTTTGTGAGATGCAAAGCTAACCTGCCCTATTGTCTATACGTGGGGTGGGGGCATGCGCACATTTTTCTAATAGAAAACAAAAGCATGAGTACATAATAAATTAAAAAAAAAAACCCTCAGTTGATCCCCTTCCTTCTTGGGCCTGCTCAGATTTCCTCCCTGAAACTCGGTGCCTTGAGGCCCATGGGTGCATTTTTTCAACACAAAACAAATGCAGGTTCAGCTCTGCCCTCTGCTCTGGAAGTTCCTTTTTTTACTAAACAATAGATCTCGGCCTCCACCTCCATCAGCACCTATGAGGCTTCCTCATTCTTTATACCCAGTGTTTCAGGGTTATTTAATCAGTCCCATTCTGCAGGGTGGAGAGTTGGGTTGTTTCTGGTCCTTTCCTGAGAGCAGTTTAGAAGTGGCCAATCCTGTTTGCCTCATTTGCAGGTCCCCCAGGGGCATCCTGCTGCAGCCTCAGAGCCCAGCACACTCACACTCTACGTCTAAAAATGAAGTCCTTGCCCCCACATTTCCCTTTTGCTGCTGCCCTATTTTCCCTCTTTTCACGACCAGAACTCTATTTTTCCTAAATAAAAATAGTCATTCTTTTCAGGCTATAAAAATGGAAGCTATTCAATGGGACACATTCAATGACAAGGGAAAAGTACAAAGAAGGTGAAATCACCTGCTATCCCACCCGTGGAGTCTCTTTGATGGCTAGTGTCCTTCCGGGGCACCCAGTGCCCTGGGCAACCTTATATAAGTGGCATCATTCCACATAGGTGGGTTTGCCCGCTACTGCTCCTCCTTACTCCCTGTCCCCAATGTATGGAACACATAGGTTGTTCTTGGAAGGGTTGTCTACTCCTGGACACCATTCCTAATTTCATAACCATAGACATCTGCCCCAGCCCCTAGCTTTTCATGAAATAGCCAACATGAAATAGCCTCTCCGTAGCTCATTGAAAGTTAGAGAACTTTGTTGAAGTCAGTTAAAGGACTGAAAAAGTGAGGGGGCCGAGAATGGGGAGGCAGGGGTCCTGGGTTCCGGTTGAGGCTGCTCTCTCAGGGGAAGCCTCTGAAGAGTGTCACCACTAAGCACCTCCATCATGGGACACTTACTTGCCATTGTACTTAACCCCATGTCCCTGAGTCCAGCCTTCCAGCCCCCTGCTCCCTCCTTCCTCCTCCTCCTCGACTTCCATGTCTTATCTGTTTTTCAAAAGTCCAAGTTTCTGGACGCTGGACTTATGGCATCTTCTGTGGTGTTCCCAAGTGATTTTATTGCCTGTGACCCCAAAACTCCTATCTCTAGCCCAGATATCTGGGCTATTCTTTCCTCATCTCATACTCACCATGTTGCTGAAGCCCCTTTCTAGCATTTTCTACCTCATGGAGGGCACATCTGCGTGCCTGGTCTTCTAGGCCAGGCCCTGCTTCCTGTCCCTGTTGAGCTTCTCTACTCTGACTTTCCCCCTTACTCCACAGTGGTCCCCAACCCTGCTGGCCCCAGCAAGTCTTCATCAGAGCTTCAGCTTCTCCAGTTCTCTGGGTTTAGAGGCACCCCCCTCTCCACAGCCTAGCTTCCAGAACATTTCCAGCCAGCCTCCACTGCTGTTCTGTTTGAGTCTCCAGGTGTAGGGGTGTGTGCAGGAGTGAGTATGTGTGTGTATATGTTGAACAATACCTATCATTCCAGAGTTTCACTGAGGAGAAAGGAAGCACTTGAGAAAGTATCTTTTGAATGTTGAAAGATTTTTCTAATGTTTCATCCATTTTATCTGTAACTTCTCCCCATGAGGCCAGTTATGTGGGGTGCTCAAGTTCAAAGTTAGCCACTACCTGGGTTTAAGATCAGCTCTGCCAGTTTTTACCTGTGTGGCCTTAGCCAATATTGCCTATGTTCTGTGCCTTAGGGTCCTCATCTTTAAAATTGGAGTATAAATAGCCCTGACCTCAAAAGGCACCATGTGAGGTATGTCAGGTGCATGGCACATCCTAGCTGCTTCAGAAAGTTTATACTTGGTGATGGCTGAGAAAATTGAGCCTGAGAGGGGAGGGGAAATGTTCCCATCCTGATCAGCAACCCTGCAGGTGTCTTGTACAAGTCACAGGTAGAATGTTACCCTCCATTTTTCTGGTTCTGGGTTTAACTGGGAGAATCTGACTTTGGGGCCTCCCCAGACTCAAAACCCATATTTTCTAAGTCAGCTCCCCAGTTGTAAGAGTCTTGACTTAGGGTACCAGAGCCTGGCTGAGAACAGGTATTCACTATCCTCCTTCACTAACTCAGGGCGGGTTACTCCCTCCCTCCTGGCTTTCTTCTATGAAATGAAATGTTTGAAGTAAATGGTGGGGTGATTCTCTTCTTTCACCCCCATAAGTTTCTGAAACATCCTCAAATCCCTGATAAAGTATAAGCAGCATTAGATTGTTTAAGGAAACTTAACCAGACTCGAAGATCAGAGGACTCTCAGGCCCCTGTAGCCACATGGAAAGTTATGCATGTGTATAGTACATGAGTATGGACTCTCAGATCTGAGCATTTTTCTGGGCATAGCTTTGCTTAACTGTGTATAGGAGATCTTTGATCCCCAAAGATTAGTCTTTAGCCTGGTTCATCACCTTTGATCTGGACTATAGCAATAGCCATTGAACTCTATTCAATTCTTTTCCCCTTTGATTGATACTCCACACACCACATGAGGTAAATCTTTAAAGTGCAATGCTGGTCCCATTGTTACTCTACTTAAGTCCTTCATTGGCTCCAGTTGCCTAAATTCCTTGCATGGCATTTAAAGTCCAACATAGCTTACCCAACTTTCTCCTCATAAGCATCTCCTGCCACGCCCAAATCCATTTTCAACGCTCTCACCCCTTCGATGTACTCCTTACCCTGGCCACAGGGAACATTTCACTGCTTCCTGAATATGTCAGGCATTTTCACATCTCTTTTCCTTTTCAAAGACTTCCCTGTACTCCAACTAGGTATCACGCAGGTATCACTTCCTAACCTCTTCAAAACCAGACACAACCCTCTGTGCTTCTACTTCTTTATCACATCTATCACCCTACACTGTGAGTTTAAGTGTGTCTCATCAACTAGATACAAGCTCTCCCAGGAGGCAAATTCAGCACTACTTTCCAGCACATGGACTGGCACCATGTGTTTATAGGTAAAAACACTTCAAGTGACTGAGTAAATTAATGAAAGAGTAAGTTAATGACGGAACAGGCCAAGGAAGACGAGCTATACCTGAACAGGTGCTCGGTCCCGCCCCCTGCTGCCCCACCTCACCCTCCCGCTCGGTCCGAACTACATTTCCCACAAGGCCCCGCGTCCTGGGCACGCGCAGCGGAGCGTTCGGAAGCTGCGACGCCGAGTTTCACTCTAGCTGCCTCCTCCTCAGAGTCGGAGCCACAGCCGAAGCTGTGCCTAGGCCGAGCCGGAGCTGCAGCCCGAGCTTGGCGGTGCCTCAGGCTGCCCCCTCGCTCTCCTCAGCCTCGGTGAGAGGGGTGGGCACACCACCTGCTCTTCGCTAGGACTTGGGTCCCGACGGCGCGGGGGGCCACCGAGGGGGCAGCCGAGCTGGGACCGGAAGGGGGCGGGCGTGGGAGTGAGGGAGGGCAGGGCCGGGCCGGAGAGGAGTCCCGGGGTGAAGTGTGAGGGGGGTGTGTGTGCGGTGCTTGTGTGTGTGTGTGTGTGTGTGTGTGTGTGTGTGTTGGGGGGGGGGATTGGGAACACTAGCGTCCGGACTGTAGGTCCCAAGGCTAGAGTTGGGGGAGACTGGGAGGCGCTGGGAACTTCCAGAACTGAGCGCTGGGTGCGAGGGTGCGAGCCCTAGTCTAACTGGGGGAGGGGCACAGACCCTGGCAGTTTGGGCCGGTCGGAAAGCGTGTGCCCCTTCCCACAGGACCTGAAGGAGGCGGTGGTGATATTGCCACCGGGCTACCCAGTTAGGGTGTGGGTTCAGCTGGATCTGTCTCCAGGTGAGGGGCTCATTGGAGCTTAGGGCTGTACTTTGGAGGAGTTTGCCTGTTAACTCCGCTTCCCCACTTCTGAAGTAGGGTCCGCCTTCCAGGAAGCTCCTGTTTCCTGGGGCCTTGGGTCACATTTGGGGGGGTACATGATGTGTGCTGAATAACGTTGAGAAGACTTCCTTTTTCTGTAGCTATCTGTTCATCCTGTCTTTCTCAGCGAGCCACTGCCCTCCACCCTAGTTCGACTTCCCTAAGAGCCAACCTCGTGGAAATAGGGTGTGTACAGACATTGGGCCATTAAGAAACTCAAACTGTTTATTTCTGCGTGCCATTCTAGCTCCTCTAGAGTTCTAGAAGAGGGACTTTCTGGTAGCCAAAGTCAGGCTTTACTTAAATCATCAGGTAATTAGGCCTCTTATTCATTTGCTGTGTGACCTTGGCTAGACTGTTACCCTCTCTGGTGAGTTGATTTTCTAGATACCTACACTGCAGCCTGCTTCTGAAGTCCTTTTAGGCCTTTCTGTGAAAGGGCTCAAGTTTTTTTCTAATCATCCCCTTGATTATTGAGTGGGCCGAGGGAGACTACTGTACCTTATGCTCTGCCCAGGCTGTTGGAAAATAAATCTGGTGGTTTCCAGTCCCCAGCCACAGCACACAACCCCAACATCTGTGCATTCATTTTCACTAACTGCTGTTTTCTCAATTTAAAACCTGATCATCTTCTTCCTTGTTGGCAAAGGTGCCTTGGAATTTGTGTTGCTGAGTCAGCAAGCCTTTCAGATTTGCCCAGTTTATGTTGTTTGCATTTTCTATCAAGATGGGAACTCAAACAAGTCATTCCTCCTAAGGATCTGGTGTCTCCATCAAGAAGGGACAGTTTGTGCCAACTCTCCAGAGAAGAGGTGAGCGCTGCTGTAGGGACTTTACATTGAGGTCTTCACAATCTAGCTTGTAGTAGAAAAGGTGGGGACTGGGGAGGGTGGAATTGAGGTCTCCTGGATGAAAATGAGCCTTGGGAGTTAATTGTTGATTGCCAACTGTCTCAAATTCAAGTGGCCTCTTGCCAACAGCTTCTTTTGTTTAATTAGTCTTTGAGTATGCTTTCCACATGGTTCCCACTTGATTTGTGGGATGAAGGACACAAGTCATGATTTCTGCATTTGAAGTGCACTTTTTACTTCTTTTATTGTATGAACCTTTATTGGGTGCCTCCTTCCTATCAAACCTCATGCTCAGTGTGGGGGTACCATGATACACAGCAAGAATTCTGTCTTCTGGGAGCCCATTCTTTAGTGGAATAGACAAAGCATAGACAGTGGCAAGGTGTTGTCAGTGTGATATGTGTTGAGGAGTGGGGAATCATAGGGCTGAGCCCCTCCCTCCAACTCCTCCCAGAAGGTATAGGGTAGACGGTCAGGAAGACTTGCAGAAAGTGATAGATGAGTTGTGAAGGAGGAGAAGTAGAAAGTACAGGGAGTAGCTGGTAAAGGAGTCAGCATATGCAAAGTTGTGAAGCTTCATGCTGTGTCTGGACCACTGTAAGTATCTCAACATGGCTGGAGCTATTAATGTGTGGGGTGAGATAGAGGAGGCTGACAAGGTAGGCAGAAGACTGTGTGTGGAGGGTTTTGTGGACAATGCCAAGGCTTGAGGAACAGCAGGATTTTAGCAGAATTCCCTTAGGGCCATTTTAAATTAGTACACTAGCTGGAAAGTGTAGAATACACCACACCAGGTTCTAATAGGGGAGATAGACATGAGATTCTGCCCACATTCTCAGTGAAAGGATAAAATGGACATAAGGAACTGTAAAGGACGGACAGAATGCTGTGGACTTTAAGTTTTCTTTCAATGGGGCACATCAGAGCTTCATGGAGATTTAAATTGGGTCTTGCAGGTATGGGTAAGGTGAGAGTGGGTGGTCAGAGCTGAGGCTTGGAAGTGGGGAAACTGGATGGATATGGAGGTAGCAGGTCATTGAAGGGAAGTGCACTGGCAAATACTGCTGATAGGGAGAGACAGGGAGCAGGTTGTGATGAACTTCAATTGTCAGTGGGAGGAATTTGAACTTATTTTTATTTTGCATATCCAGGGGAGCTGTAGAAGAGATGGGATAGAGCTATACTTCAGAAAGCCCAGACTGATCTCTGAGGTGAACCAGGAGTGACAAGAGCTGGAGAAGCCAGTTAAGAGATTACATACCAAGATGAGAGGCATAAAGGTCCCATTGAGATGCTGGCAGTGGGGCTGAGGAGGGAGGAGCGCAAACCCTGGCAGCTGTTAGGGCAAATGTTGAGGAAGAGCAAGAATCCCAGGAGCCAGTGTATCCAGGAGGAAAGGGAAAATTAGGAAAGAAGGTGAGTTTGACTTCTCACATATGGCAGGTATCTAGGAGTTGGTTCCAACAGGACTGAGACTATGGGCTAGAGGGAAAAATCCCTCATTCATTTCACACATGCCTATAGAAATTGTGTGCTGAGCACTTGTGCTTGGCACTTTGGTTACAAAGATGAATGAAACACCTGTTGTGTGCTCGTTTTAATTTTTGCCCCAACTGAACAGAGAGCTAGATTAATACACATACTTGTTCATATCTGACCTGCTTTTTTGTATTTTCTAAGTTATTTTTAATGAATGTAGTAAGCGCCTAAGTTCCAGCCATGAAAACCAAAGCTAATGCCTTGAAACAAAAGGATACATCTCATCCTTTCACCTTCCTTTCCCCTTCCCATTCTGAGATAACCACTGTCCTGTTGCTTTTGTTTTTATGTAGTTTTCCTCTGCCTGTATGTTTCTAAGGAAATTGTTACATTACTAAGAATTAGCCATATTATTACATGTCAACTGGTTTATTTGATGACTGAATAACATTCCATGGTGTGAACATACCACTGTGTGTGTCTGATCTTCCATTGATGGGCACTTATTGTTGCCAGGATTTTGCTTTTGTGAAGATACTACTCTGAACATTTCCAGACCTTTCTTTCTGTGGTACATGTGTAGAGTTTCTTAGGTATGAACTTGGGGATGGTATTTTTGGTATTTTGCTGGCTTCACAGGTAAATAAGTGTTCAACTTCCACAGACATTAGCAAACTAGTTTCTGAAGTGTTTTTTTTGCCACTTTGTACTCCTCTAGCAGAGTGCATAGAACTTCCACTTGCTCCACATTCTTGTCAACACTTGCGACAGACTTTTTTATTTCTGCCAGTCTACTAGGTGTGAAATGAGATCTTTGGGATCTTGATTTCTATGCTCCTGAGCCCCAATGTTGAAAATCTCTTCCTAAGTTTATTGGCATTTGTGTTTCCTATGAAATATTTGTTCACGTCTTTTGTTAAATTTCTGTGAGGTTCTTGGTGCTCTTTTTCTATTTAGTTGATTTGTAGAGAGTTCTTTAATGTTTTCGATTTTATCAAGAAAGTCCTCTAATGTTTGGGCTCTGTAAACAGACTTTGGTTTTATTATACATGTGTATCCCGGGGCACATTGTTTGTCTTTTTGCATATTGTACATGTTGTGAATGTATAATGTATTCTCCCAGATTGTAGTTTTATCTTTCTACCTTTTTTTTATTCATATAAGAATGGGGGTACAGGCCAGAGGTGCGGGAGGTGAGAGGATTCACCAGAGACAGAGTGGGGAGCAGAACAGGCAGATCTACTGAAATGCACTGCTGAGGGGAGCAGCGGGCTAGACCAGAGAGGTCTGCTGCACCATGTGGGTCAGTTTCCTGGCCAGGGATCAAACTCATGCTGCAGTGGCTGCCAATAGCTTCATAGTGCTGAGATGTAACCCCTTACACCACCAGGGAGCCCTATCTTTCTACTTTAAGACCTCTTTGTTGAACAATCTTTCTTAATCTTAACATAGTGAAATGTGTTTTTCATTCAAGTCAGTGTTTTATCTCTTGTTTAAATAAAATCTGACCGTAATCCTTGCCTTGAAGGATCTTTGCATAGTGAAAGTAACAGGTTGATAATTGCACTCAGTATCACATGGACACTGATTGTTCAGAGTTACTGCTTCTCCAACTACATACCAGAAGTGGGTGTAGGAAAAATTTCATAGGGTAGGGCCTCCCCAGTGGCTCAGGGGTTAAAGTCTATGCACTATCAAGCTGTCACAGCCACTGTAACATGAGTTTGATCCCCGAGCCCTGGCCAGGGAACTGACCCACATGGTGCAGCAGACCTCGCCTATCTAGCCCACTGCTCCCCTCAGCAGTGTATCTCAGTAGATTCGCCTGTTCTGCTCCCTACTCTGTCTCTGGTGAATCCTCTCACTCCCTGCACCTCTGGCCTCCACCCCAGTTCTTGTATGCATAAATTAAAAAAAAAAATCTTAAAAAAAATTCATAGGGCATAGTTTCTTAAGCTGGGACTTAAGAGATGAGCAAGTGGATAGGTGGGATGGACACATTCACTGGGTGGTGAGGATCATGAAACAGCTTGGCCAATTCTGCCCCCATCTGCACCCACTGAGTTCCTGGTAACTGGAGCAGAGAGCTTGAGGGGCTCTGGAAAGGCATTTGAAGAAAGATTTAGATGAATCATGGCCTCTTGAAGATTTGGGAACAAGTAAATGGCTCCAGAGAAGTGTGGGGATGGAAAAGAGGGCAGCCAGGGCTTGACTTCCTGATAGGGAGAATAGTATCAATGTCAGGTGTGACTCTGGGAAGCTTTGGGATTTTGGTGGGGTGACCCTGAGAGCATACTAGCTGCTGTGCTGTTGGATGTTATAATTCAACCTCAGGTACTGGGCAGAGAATGGTATGTCTGAGGAGTGCAGGGCATGGCGTTGGGGTAGCTAGTTAGAGGCATAATCACTCTCCCACTTTTTGATGAGAAATTGGGTTCAGAGAAGTATTTCTCATTCTAGGACAGTGGGAGCACAGTAATAGGTGTTGGGAAGGCAGTAGGGCAGCAGTGGGCAAACCAGGGCCTGAAGACCAAATCTAGCCCACTGCCTGTTTTTAATAAAGTTTCATTGAATCATATCCATTGTGGTTAGTTATACATTGTTTGTGGCTGTTTTCTAGCTAAAGCAGGAGTGTTGCATAGTTGAAATAGACAGCCTCTCTTTTGCAAAGCTTAAAATATGTACTTTCTGGCCCTTTATAAGAAAGTGCTCACCCTACCATGGGAGTCAAGGTAACTCTGCCAGCCCCCCACGGTTGTTGCTGGGTGGATAATGAATCTAGGTCAGATCTGAAAATGTTGCCAACTTTTCTGGTTTTTGAGAAACTGGAAATATGGATTTTTTTTTTTGAAGTAGCATTGGTTTACAACACTGTATATGACTCAGCGATACAGGATCACACCTCTTCAGGTGTATATTATGGAAATGCAGATTTTTAAAAAATGGTGACTATCCCAATGTTATTTTTTTATTTTATTTTTTATTTTTTTTAAAGATTTATTTATTTATGCATACAAGAACTGGGATACAGGCCAGAAGTGCGATGAGGGGGAGTGAGAGGATTCACTAGAGACAGAATGGGGAACAGAACAGGCAGACTGCTGAGGAGAGAGCAGGCGAGACAGGAGAGGTCTGCTGTGCCATGTGGGTAGCTCCCTGGCCAGCAGGGGATCAAACTCATGCTGCAGTGGTTGCGGATAGCTTCACAGTGCTGTGCTTAACCCCTTGTGCCACCAGGGAGACCCAAATACCCAATTTTAAAATGGAAGCTTAGTTTTTAAAAAAGCTTAAAAACTGAAGGCCAGTCAAAACACTTCTGGCTGTCCGATTTGTCCAGCATTAGTTTGACTTTTTGTCTTTGGACTCTGGAAACAGATTTGAGTTTATATCTCTGCATTCTTGAGCACATTGCTTGTCATCTTTTGCCTCACTTTTCTCATTCATAAAATAGAGATAACACCTGCCTCTCACAATTGTGCAGACTAAACAAGAACACCTGTAAGGTGCCTGCACAGTGCCTGCAGCATCGTGAGCTCTTGGTAGCCATTGCTGCTATTAATTGCTACTGCACCTGCCACTGTTTTCTGTTCACCCCCAATTTGGCTTCAGGGTTGGTCTGCCCTGTGTACCTGCAAGTGGTCAGGTTGCTCCTGGTGAATAATGAGCAGCAAGTTCTTGGTGCTGGCAGAGGACACTCCCCACAAAGGAAGCAAGGGTTACTCAGGCCTGCACCATTGTCACCTTGTGGTTTTCTGAGCACTGCTTGGACGGTTATGCTCTGACCAGCCCCTGGAAGACTCGGTGGGCAGCAGCCTGAAGAGAAGTTGTCACTTCCCTTCCAGCAGCCCAGTGTGCAAGGGACAAGTATGTTAGTTCCTTCCATTTCTTAGGGACCTAGTGCAGTCTGGGTGGCACTGGCTTGAACCTTCTCTTTTCAGGACAAGTGCTTGGGCTTGCAGAGCTCATAGTTTAAGTTCCTAGTTGGTGTGTTTTACATATTTTCTTGGAACCTGAGGATAGGGAATGTGTCTCTTGTCAGAGGAGTGCTGGGGTACTTTGACAAGGCCTCCTATGAGTGAAACCACTGGGATAATAGCAGCCATTGAAAGTATTAATGGTAAGTGGCGGTGGTTTGCTTTTTATTTATATGATCTTTTAAAAGTGTGGGGCATTTCAAAGAGATTTTTTTCCCTGCTAACAACAGTAATACTGTCTCACATTAGAAACTGGAAAGTTCACAGATATAAGCAAGCTGAACAAAAGTTCTGTAGTTTTTCCACTGAAAGGCAGCGTTGTTAGCATTTGTGGTATCTTACTGTGTTTTCTCCATGTTCCTCATTTAGTTAAAATAGTGTTGTGGTGACTATCTCTGTTGAAGTTTTCCTGCAATCTTCTTAAGTTAGAATCTTAATTATTGGGACAAAGGCAGTGAACTTTCTGCAAATCTCTTGATACATATTACCAAATACTTATCTGGAAAAGATTCATCCTTCCCAGCAGTATGAAGTTGCAGTGTACTCTTTGCCAGCACTGGGTGTTGAGATTAAGTTGTTTTTTACTTTTGGTAGTCAAAAAATGGTATTCCGTTGTTTTTAATATATATTAAATTTTTTTTCTAGTAAAGTAGAGCATTTCTTTGAAGTGTTTGTGCACAGGATTCAACTTTCCCAGGGTTTGGGGAAGGCTTCTGGACAGTGGCCAGGGTGGCTGGCTGTACTGTAAGAAGTCTTTGAAGGTCATGCTTACCATGTCAGCTGGTGGGGCGTGGAGTTTCTGGCCCATGCTTCTTGGAAAGCACCCGAAAGAGAGACTAGAAAATAGGACTTGAGGTCTCATTGATCTCCCATCCATGCTCCTTGGAACTCTTTTGCTAGGCAAGAGTCTCACGAACTCTCTAGAAATAGGAATGGAGACTACCTTTATTTAAAAAAGAGCAC